CCCCAAAACCCCAAAACCCCAAAACCCCAAAACCCCAAAACCCCAAAACCCCAAAACCCCAACTTATATAATAAATACTGAACTTGAGAAATGTCAGAAAATTTAGCTAACTCAAAGTAAGGAACTTGGTTATTTTTAGTCGGATTATAGAGACAATCTTGCTCAGATCTATTATTAATAGGAATGAAGGAGGTAATGTGAAAGGTTTTGAGGGGTCAAAGGGATTTTTGAGGAAATATTGGGATTTTTGTTAACGTACAGAAGGGCCAGGGGAGAGAAGAAGGATTTCAGGGTTGTAAGAGTGAGGGTTGAGGTATAGGATGGCGAGTAGGCCGGATATAGTCAGGCTTTTGAGGAGGTATATTAGGTTTGATAGTGGATCTGAGGCTGAGGAAAGTCTTTCTGTGGAGGAATAAAACTATATGGGCCTCATTACAGGAAGATAAGAGAGCTTGTACTGAAAGTTATAGCTCAGAATGATGATGGAGTCAGTGATATGTATTATACTCCCAAGGAAATTATGAGATGCTTCCTGTCTTATTACTTTAAGCTTGCTCGTAAGAGCAACTATTCACTAGAAAAATATAAAGAATTTGTATGCCAGAACAGCTTGCCATCACTCAAAGGGGTGGTTGGAAGACTCAAAAAGCAAAGTGACCTAAAAACTCAAGTATCTAATTGTCTCATATATTATAGGAAATTTCTCTATGAATCTGACTTCTTAAAATTCATGAGCTTAGATTCAGACTAAAATACTCAACACTTTGCCATGAGACTCTAATAAAATTCTGTAAGATTAAGAGGAAAATATTCTCGAAAATGACTGATGCGATTTATTCATCAATTCGGGAGACTATTGACAGCTATGATTTTGACTTTGACGGTTTGTGAAAAGAGATGGACATTCCATTTCATCACTCTCTTAGAAGACAGAGGGAATCAATTCAGGAACAAATAGATATCTTGAAGCTACTCAGGAAGGAATGAAACAACCTAAACCTTTATTTAAGTTAGATTATCGGCTAGAGTTCTACCATGAGTTCTCAATATTTTTGAACTTTAATGGGGTTTTGGGGTTTTGGGGTTTTGGGGTTTTGGGGTTTTGGGG